TTTAATCAAAATAACTAAAATTGTTTGCACAATAATCAAAATATTTTTCGTTTAATTAATATTTAATTTTGAAATTTTATCTTCAATAATGATATTTTTAAACTGCTGAAAGAACAACATAATAATTTGAAGAACCTTGTATTTATTTTAAGCTTTATTAAAGCTATTAATCTTAAAAAGTTTATAAATTTGTAAGTACAAAATAATTATGAATAATTTTCATATTTCAAATGTCAAAATTCGATATCAAAACGCTAACTTAAAAAAAATTGTGACTGTGTATTTTCAGTATTTTTAAATTGATAAAGTATAATTTAGAAATCTTGAATTAAATTCTCAAGCTTTTTTTCTTTGAATAATAAATCAAAAAGGGCCAAAATATTTTGAAAATAATATCATGTCTAGAAATGTCTAACATATTTGGAGAAAATGTCAGCTATATAGTTGTTTGTTTATAAATTACAACAAAGTATAGTAAAATCGATTTTTTAAAAAACGGGCGTCGAATAAATTTTAATATTCTCTTTTTTCTATAATTTTTTTTTTTTAATTATTATTGTCGATTATTTTGAAAAGTACTGAACATTTTTTACTTTTTTCTCCCGAGTCTATCTTAATATTATTGGCTACTAATTAGTACATACCTTATACCCCATCAAAGTTGAATATTGAATATTTAATATTTATACTGTTCCAAAAGTTTATGACTGACAAAACATTTCGTTCTACTTACTCAGAATCTAAAATTAAAAATATTCAGACTAAAATTATAAGAACATTTAAAAACTAATTATTATATTACTATAATAATATAATATTATGTATACACAAAAAATTTTAAATTTATACGAATAATAATTTATTTACAATTGAGCATTATTTATTCTCCACCCTCTACAAACCAAAATTCTACGTTCAGGCATTCAGCTTAAATTTTAGATGACAGCAGCTCTTTAAAATAAAAAAAAATTATAAAACAAATACGTTAATTCACTCTTATATTATTATTAAAAATAACAGAGTAAAATGGATTATTTTGAACGAAAAATTTGGTTTGTCATGAACGGAGATTACACATGTGAATGTAACGTCCGATGTTACCTATATGATTTTTCAAAAAATTTAAATTAACCTATTATTAACTAATTATATACATTTTAACAATCTGTTCCACGAATAGTTGGATTTCTCATGTTTATTTAGATTTTAGGACTTTAGGTACTATTTTTGAAGAAATCATATACTCCTAGATTTGGAAGAATTATAGCCAGTGAAAATCACATATAAGGTTTCTTCCTAGCACCCAATTTCGGTAGGTTTAAACTAAAAACATGTTTTTACGACTAACGAGTGCTATTGGAAATACGAAAATATGTTTTTACTATTGATTTTTTTCTACTGTGACAACCTCTATTAATTTTTAATAAAAATCCAAAAAGGTAAATTTAAATTTAGATATTTAATAATAAACAACTATTTGACTAGTCAAAAATACAATTTTAGTTGCATTAGGTATTTTTAAAAACTAAATTTAAGTTAGGTGGTACCTATTACTTTTTTTCTGATTTTAAAGCAACTTTAAATTCTATATTTTTATTGAAAATTAAACAATGTTGAAGTAGCTAAGTAACAAACAACTAAACATGTATATTATCAATTCTCCATTTAACTATTAAATTTGTATTATGTACCTACTGTTAATAATATATTACAAATTATTTTAAAACCGTTATGCCAACTAAAATGAACATAAAAGTTGTAGGTTGTTTATTATCAACATCTTTTCACACAACTAAATATCTACTTTTTGTATGTTAGTTTTTACTTATTTAAAATTTAATCATTATAAACAGTTATTCAATTTTAGAATTTGGTGAAACATCGGCATGATTTGGTTAATAAATATACTATTAGAGGTGTTATGGACGTTGAATGGACGAGATGTTTATGGAAAATAAATCAAGTATAAATAAAAAAAAATTACAGTTGAATAGGTGGTACTTTTTGATATTTCTATAGATATTTAAACAAACCCTGTCTATAGATTCTCGGTGGTGCGAAACGTCAAGATACTGAAGCAATATTTATCAATGAAACCTATATAGGCACTTATGCAGAATTTCAAAACTATTTAAGCGTAAACTACAATATAACTATGAGTTTATGGTCTGTGAATTGCAAACAACTCGCATCGATTGATATTCAAGATTATTATAATAATAAAGTAAATATTAGGTACCTAGGTAGCCAGGTAGGTACAAGTTTAAAACGACTTTAATATTAAACATTAACTACATAATATCCTACTAATATTATATACGCTAAAGTTTGTGACTTTGTTACTCTTTCACGTAAAAACTACTGGACCGATCTTGATGACATTTTTAGTTTTTACACTGTCTGTATTTTGGTCCAACTTAATACATAGGCTAATTTAAAAAGGGAGAGGACCAACCCCGGGATGTGCTCGAACGGAAATATTGAGATTTCGGATGGAAATTTTTGTTTATAAATGGTTGCCATGGGTTTTTAAGCTTTTATAATAATAATAAAAAAAATATATTTTCTTTACTTTTTAAATATAAATTAAACAAATTGGTTATTTTAATCAACCATAGGTGGAATAAAATAAAAACGACAAACTTAGTATAACTTTGATACTTTAGATTTAAATCATACACTAAGTCACTAACGTACAAACAGCACGGGGTCCGCGATCTACCACAGGTAGATTGCCTATCTGATAATGTACTGCAGCGATTCAGAATTTTTATTCCGGGCAACGGAAAAGATAAGATACATTTTGAACACTGTACACCGAATATTAAATAACGAATTGAACAAAGTTTGAGTCATATAGAGTTGATACATTTAACGGGCAACGAAGTGGAAGGGATCAGCTAGTAGCATATAAATATAACAAATAATAAATAATAATACAAAACGGCAAACAGTAAAATATACTAAATTTAGTAAATATTAAATATTATATTGTAAATATTAGGTACGACATTAAATTTACATTTAATTATTTATAAACTTATTATTGTGCTGTACACTATGATTCAACAATACCAAATATAATCACCATGTGTACAACCATTTGTAAATAACTGGTATATTGAAGAAGAAAAATTGGGTGAACATATTCGGTGAATCACTCCGTATAGTAACATAGATAGAGTCTTAGACACATAGTATTATATTAATATAGGTATTAGTTGTATAGTAATTATTAATATTTTTATGGAAAAATTTAAACATTGAACACAATTCTTATAAGTTGACTGCTTACAACTCTTAGCTAATTTTACTCTTCGGTAGTTACTATAGTTACTATCTTTAAAAAAATGTAGGTATTAAGAATTAATTTCCAAGGATTTTACAAAAAGTCAGTAGATATTTTGTTTTTCAATTTTCAAATATTTCAAATATATTTCTGCCTAATTTCCAGCTAGTAAAATAACTAAGAGAAACTATTAATATAATAATAAGTCCAACATCTTCATATTTAGTTATAGGACAGTCGGATACAAATACATCAATAGATTGCACAAACATTTAAAAAAACCAAATAGAATCGATGAATAGTATACCTATTGATTTTAAATTATCTGAAAATATGTACCTAAGTAGGTAATTAAGTTATGTTTAAATATTGTGGGCCCACGCAATCAGATATATATTTATCCGACATTTAAGGACCATAATCAGGCCACGTATTTAGAAATTATGATTTCCGGGGCACTTATTAAATTCCGCCCCTCTTTTTAGTTGGCGGGGAGGGGGGAGATGGATATCCAGTATTAAAAATAAAATTATAAATAGGAAGGTATACCTACATAAAATTATAAAACATTACGTATTTTAAATAAAGAAACAAACTCACTTTAGTTTCCACGCGTTTTTCAGATTTTTTTAGTTTTTGAAACATGTATTTCAACGAGTTAAGAACATGAGATGGTGCAAATTTGCAGAAATCATATTTCTTCATCCTTCCGAAGTTTGCGATTTTCTGTTTTTACACATCTGCACACATTATGCTTTGCCACCGCGAAACCGTACCTTTAACAATATTTGATTTTTTTTTAGATCATACGTATTTTAACGAGTTAAGATCACCACATAATATAGTATAATATACTAATAAAGTAATATAAAAGTATAATAAGTAGACTGCAGTAGTCGCTCGCTACGCATACCAGCTCCGATCGCCAAACCAGAAGTCCTACAAATAAGTTATTAATTATTATGAACATCGGACAAAAATATTTTATCTTATTGTATAATATATATAATATAATATACCTATAACCTAGGTATCGTATATTTTTTTAAATTCCTAATTAGATACCTACTTAACAATAATTTTTAAAATATAAAATGTGTAGGTATTTATTTTAAATACCTATGTACCTACATAAGTATAATACCGAATGTGGTATAAAAATAAAAAAATTGAAAGAAAATGATGAACACATAAGTAAAAGCTATCATTTTTAGCCACCCCCAAAAATGTGCCGCTTTGAGCATTTATTGTAATTTGTTGTAAATCTAATTGTGTTAATAGTGATTAAGTGACTCAGTTTTAACTTCTATAACAATAATATTTTATAATAATGTCAATGGTAAAATAATAAGTAAATGTAACGAAATTAATAATAATACAATAGAAAGAAATATTGTATATCCATTGTGGCATTGTCCGACATCGTGGCTTAGTATACTTACAAGTTTGGCGACTTTATTCGGACTCATAGTATACCTACTATACAATGTCAGTCTATTAAGTAGGTACCTGTAGAATTTCTTATTTTGACCACTAACTTCAGATATTGTGTAGGTACAATGAACAAGTATGAAAAAAACAGTACAAAAAAATTGTTTACATATTATTATAGGTAGTTACCCACTTCCCACCCATTCTTAAATTACAATATGTTATATAAGTATACACCTATGTATATAAAACTTATTATTTTTAGTCGACATTCGTACGTATGGTTTTTCAAGTTAACAATTGGGAAATTGGCCACGTTGTTTTCGTTGTTAGTATATTATGTTATTACTTATTACTTATTAGTTATTAGGTATGCATTTAATTGTTTGGAATAGCTATTTACTATTATTTAATTTTTAGCTATTTGATAAACTAGTTCCAAAAACTTGTAAGTATTTCAAACAGTTATGTATAAATAAAACTGAAGGATACTTGAACAGTTTTATACACAGAATTGATATAAATAATGGTTTTATTCAAGCCGGGCGTAAGTTAATTATTGTTTATTTTATCAGAAGCTCCTCCACGCAATTTGTTTTAATCTTATTCATTTCACACAGGAATCTCAAATAAAATGGCGTATTTAAAAAAAGAAAACTTTTTAGTAAGTCACGATAGAAGAGGTGTGCTGTCTTTAGCTGGTAGACGCACATATTTCAATGGTTCGGAATTTATTATTAGTTTTCAACCAAATCCTTGGATGAACGATAAATATGTGGCGTTTGGGTAACTAAAATAAAAAATCGGTAAGGTCAAAACACTAGTAATAAATAACAACAATTTAACGGTATACAGACATGCTGTCGAGGGCGAGAAGACCTTAAAAACAATTGAGAAATTGTCATACGCTCGTGAAATCTCCGACCGACAAATTCGTATAACTTCGTGCGATGTACTGCCGAACTGTGCTCGTTCTGTAAAAACAAAAATAGACGAATTTTTGTACACAACTATCGACAAAATTGTTGACAAAGCTATGTTCACGTACGCGTACGGTAAACCCAAACCACTCCACTTGCCCATCATAACTGATCTCGAGTACGTAGAATCGATTATTCGGACCTTAACGAACAACGTCATGGGTAAAATCGTAGACTCTGCATCACCTCAAGAAACCAAACCATTAATTGATGAGGATTATTCGAAACGCTCAAAACTACGTCTGGGTTCCATGACTATTCCGAGCGCGCCATCTAGCTGCAAGGACGAAACGAAGAGAAAACATTCTCTGATAAAGTTGAAGCCATATTCTGCCGGGTTTAACGAAACTGCGAGTCGAATACTCGAAACAGTCGGAACTGAAAACATTTCTACGATCAAATCGGAAGCTTGCAGTGCAATATCGATTGGCAAAAACACCAAATACGGTGTCAATTTACCAGCAAATCACAAGTATTATTGGAAATATAAAAAAATATACGACGGCATTGCCGATTGAATAACCATACATTTACATGTAAATTAATCGCATCCAGTATCCACTAGTCATAAATCATATTCTATATATGATACTAGTCAATAAGTCTCGATTGATGAAAACATTTTTCTACATCCTTTATGCATTCCTAAATTATTCTTTGATTGAGATTAAATTTGGTACAGACATAGATTAGACCTTGAGGAAGAAGTTAGGCTACATCTTATAGCGGAATAAGGTAAATAAGAGGTCCTACCCGCTGGCAGATTCTCAAACAAGGATTTTGAGATTTACGATGGAAATTGTTATTTATAAATGGTTGCTATTGGTTTTAAATTTTAATTATAATAATAATTATTATTAATGCGATAAGCTTGTATATTTTAGTAGGTACAGAATGTATCGAGTTCGAACCACTGTTTCGATGAACACATTTTTTGAATTTTTTATACTTTACAGTTAAATTATACACTTACGTACACACCATGATATGCGAGGTCCGCGATCTACCGCAGGTAGATTGCTTACTTGATAATATACTACTCGCATAATCACAAGCGAATCTCAAGGAGGGGATGGCTGTAAATTCAAATATAATATTATAATTTACACATAAAAAGACAATGCTTCCACAGCGTGTTACACCCAAAAGAGTTGAACAATCACAAAAAACTAGCAATAGCTAAGCATTTCTGTGTTAGTTAGTCTTATTCATATATAATAAAATATCTAAACAAAATAGCATTTAAAATCATAAATTACACACGTATGAAAAATGAGTAATTAGTGTTTATGTATAATATATTTATAGGTATTAACAGGTAGTTAGTTTTATAGACAGTTACGGGGAAATCCTGAAAACATTAGTAAAATGTCCATAAATATATTATCATTTATCATAGTAGGTACTAGGTACCTATGTCTATTTTAACAATAATATTATTTATACCATCAATGTTATTCATTATTACTTACTAACATACGTCATTACCTACTGAAATAAGAAGTTGCGAATAGGCAGTAGAAATTGGTATAATGAACTTTAGGAAGTCTATCCAGTGTCATAGTAGGCGCAATAACCCACAATAACCATTATCCAACCTGCACTATCATCCTATCCAAAGATGACGTCCTATTTTTACAGGATAGTATTTTATTTTGTTTTGTTTCATACTTTCATGTTGTCCTGACGAACTTCTTTCAGAACACTTTTTGTACCATTTTTTTTTTTGTCGATTATAACGAGTATATAATATGATGATAAACATATTTAATTTTGTTTTTTAATTAGTTGATAATAATATTATGTTATTGATGCGATGACAGCGGTAGAAATTGTATTTATGAAAAATAATTACCAAGAAAATCGATATCGGTGAAAATGAGTATAATTAGGTGTGTTTTGGCGGTGTAACCGGCGCTAACCGCTAGTAAACTGTTTACTGGTATCGTTTTCGCGATTACGGTCACTGTAACCAGGTAACTAATTTCTTGAACGAGTTTAGTGAATTTTGTAACCGTCGATTTCGACTTGGTAGAAGGTTTACTGAGGTTCGGTTAATAAAAAATGTTTGATATCAAATGTTATCAAATATTTCAGTAAACAAAATGTTCAAGCAATTGTTTTGGCGTTCCTGTAAACGTTTTCTAACCATATTCTGTAACCATAAACTTATTTACTAAACAGTTTACTCCCCCAAAACACGCCTATTGTTATAATATAAAGCTCTGTGTAGATATAATATTAAAACTTCTAGATATAGCCGCCATTCTATGATGTTGAAGTCAGCCGCCATTTATAAAGTTGGCAATGTATACATTTATTCATATGAATAATATATACTTATATATACATATAATATACCTATTACCTACTGTGTTTGTAAGCATTTCCCCTGCTTTGTAGAAGGAGATGGCTAACTAGTTGTTGTGTATATATGTGTGTGTCTAGTATCATATGACATCGTATAAGTTTTTTACAACAATTAAAAATTAACAAAAAGGTAGGCAAGTCGCAGTGGGTGTCGTTCTGCTGCACAGTAGGTTACAAGTGAGTCACTGTAATGGATTGTGTCAAAATTGAATTCTATGATATATAATATCACTGTATAAGAAAAACGATTCAGTGCGAAGACGGTAAGTCAGCCTATGATATACCTAACCAAGTATATTTGATGATATTATTGTGAATAAAGTAATTTATATAATATAACCTATTTACGTGGAACCTTGTTTTAAATTTTTTATCCTTAGCTATAAAAGTTAAGTATTTTATAAAATTTTGACTTTAAAATAATTTTTATTTTTATAATTTTAAATTTAATTAATTTTGTCAAAACTCGAACTTTAAAGTTTAAATGTTTATAAAAAAAATTTGTGCCTATGTATTTTTTATATTTTTCAACTGCTATAGTAGCAATAAATCAGGAGCCTTGTATTAAATGTTCACACATTTTTACCTAACAAATAAGATTTTAATGATAATTTTAGGAAAAATTTAAAGAAATTGGAAACTGATAATGTCTGTAAACAGCTCAAAAAGAGTAAAAATATTTTCAAAATATTAGGGTGTATAAAAAATGAAAATATACGCACATTCAGTCAAATTTTCATGTATCTACAGTTATTCGTTTTTGAATAACAATAAAATTACAAAATGCTACATGAGAAATCGAGTGAATATCCAAAATTGTAAAAATATGAACGTCAAACGCACATAAAAATTTAATTTGATTTGCTTGTAGACATTTTTTTTTCAAATATCATTGTAACAGTATATTAAAAACCTATTGAATTAAATTTTCAAGCTTAACGAATATAATTTTGATGAACATCGCTCCAATCAGAATTGTAAACAGTTGAAGAAATAATATGCAACGGCAAGGAAATACCTACCTACCTACCTATAGGTACTTTATAAATTTCATCTGATGACTGACATTATTGTATTCGATTATTATTTTTCCTAATAACATTAGATTACAGCTAGGTTGGATATCGTGATTTGTGGTGCTTGAAAGGCTGGCGTGGGAGGTTTGCGAGGGTCTAGAACAAGCCATTTTATACTACTCACTCACTTAACCATGTTAAAAAGTCCGTATTTTTATACATTTTTACATGGCTAAGTCTGGTATTACTGCAGCTAGTTACAAAATATTTTAGATTTTTTTGGTTTTATACATTTGTTCAAAAAGCATTTATATGTATTGTTTGGGTTGATAAAAATAATTTTTAAGTACTTACCTAAGCCTCAAACATACTAAAATAGACACCAAGTGTTTAATAGAAAATAATAAATACAAATGAATATCACTCGGTTGGTTATACAACTTATAAAACAAATGGTTTTACTTTATCCTTCGAAAATCGTAAGGATGTCAACAAAAATAAAGCGGTTCAGCCGAGTAAGAACCAACCGGATGACGTTAACAAATCCATATGTTGACACTTGACAGTTGACAGATTTAAGGGTAGAAGTACCCAAAATGTATAGTATGTATTTCAATAACAAACTATATCATGCTATATACATAATACATATGGGCATCTGGCATACCATTATACCAACGAATTTTTAAATCTCCATCACCAACCGACTATATAGATAGGTAGCCTACAATTTGACTTACACAATATATAGAATATGCCATATAGCTACATGTATACATAGTACATACATATATAGTTAACTGTTAAGTAATATTGGAATTGGCTATTATAAGTAGGTATACGCAACAACCATGTAAATTATACAATATAAATTCTATAGCTAGTGTGAAAGTCAATAATATTGGCTACATTTCAATTTACTAAATAGGTAGGTAATATATTTTTTGTCTGTTATGACAAATTAATTGAAAACCGAGATTTTTTTGGAAATCGACCAAATATATTTCGGTGAACTTACTTTTAATGATCACTGCACATTATGGAAGTTTAAAAACTTATTGGAGTGTCGATAGGGGCCTGTGGACATAATATCGAACACATTAATACGTTTTTATACTTTTCTGTACACTGTAGTAAGTTATCAGTCGAATGCCACAGCGCACATCCTACAGCATAATACAAATATTAAATATTATATTATGTTTATAATATTTATGTGTCGTGTAAAAGTATTTATAATAATATATTATAACCGAGATATATTGTATAATAATATGATCGTTGATTAAATATTTCAATATTAAAGTATATTTGATCAATGCTATATGATGTAATACCTATACTATCTAATATATTACTTACATTAAAACTCAAAATTGTAATAAATAAAAATATCAAGGGGGGCTATTTTAAATTGTTGGGCCTCCCCCCACCATAATTAAAGCAATCAAAGCATTTAGCGTAATTTCAATTAAAAAAAGGTTGGTAAGTGGATATCGCTCTGCTGTACAGTAGGTTACAAGTGGGTCACTGTAATGGATGATGTTAAATTTGAAATCAATGTATAAGAAAAACGATTCAGAGCGAAGACGGTAATAGTCAGCCTATGATATAACCAAGTATATTTGATGATATTATTGTGAATAAAGTAATTTATATATAACCTATTTACGTGGAAACTTGTTTTAAATTTTTAATCCTTAGCTATAAAAGTTGAACATTTTATACATTTTTAACTACAAAATAATTATTAGGTACATTATAAATTTAATAAATTTTGTCAAAATTCGACCTTTAAATGCTTATAAAAATAAATTGTGTCAATGTATTTTTAATATTTTTCAGCTGTTATTGTAACAATATATCAGGAGCCTTACATTAAATTTCCACACTTTTTTACTCATCAAATAAAATTTTATTGATATTTATAGAAAAAAAAACTAAAAAGTTGAAAACTGACGATGTTCGTAAACAGCTCAAAGAGAGTCAAATTATTTTCAAAATTTTATAGTGTATAGAAAATGCTTATATAAACATTCAGTGAAATTTTCAAGTTAATCTACAGTCATTCGTTTTTAATTATAACAAAATAAGAAAATCGTTACATGAGAAATCGAGCGAATATCAAATGT